AAGGCAGAAAAAGGCCAAGGGAGGGGGGAGGGAGAGGAACGTGTGCGTGCATGCGTGCGTTCGTGTGCGTGTGCGTGTGCGTGTGTGTGTGTGTGTGGGGATGGGAGGGGGAGCACTCGAGATATGGCGAGAGAACCAGGCGGCGGTTCGAAGTCCTCCCTGGTCTTCAACTATTGTGCCAGCCATAGGAGATGGCGAAGAGAGGCAGATAGAGGTTCGTTCCGATGGGAAAGGCTCCGAAGAAGAGGGAACAAGGGGATAGCAAGAGAGAGGGGGAGGAGATGAGGGAGGAGCGGGGGCGCAGCGACGGCTTCTGAAGGGGATGCAGATCCATGGGGAGAGGAGAGAGTGAGGGGCTTAGCTAGGGGGATGGAGGGCAAGAGTAAGGGGATGGCTAACAATGATGGGAGAGGAGGGGATGGCAGCAAGGGGGGGAGAACAACAGTGGGCAGGTAGGGGACACCGCAATGATCGGAAGGAGGAGGGGGGAGGTAGCGCAGAAGGGGAGAGGGGTGGGACCAGGTGTAGGGCAAGGGGATAGGGAGGAGAAACCGCTGGAAGGAGGGGAGCAACTTCTAAGGGGGGGATGACAGGTGGCGGGAGATCAATGAGAGAGAGGGGAGGCGAGGCGATGGCGGTATGATCCAGAGTGGCAGGCGAAAAGACTGAAAAAGAGGAGGGGTGAGGCATGAGTAAGGAGGGATGGCCACCTGACGAGGAATGGGCGACATCAGAGGAGGAGAAAAATGGACAAAGCCGTCGAATGGTATGCAGGTAGCCACCACGAGGACTACAGGGGAGAGGGGGCAGCTCAAGGGTGGAGCTGAAGGCAGGGCAAGGGATAATCGCAATAAAGGCGGAAGAGGACAGGAAGGCTTGAAAGCGAGGGGTAGGGCTGGAGATCCCACCGCCAAAGAGAGAGATTTGTCCTTGGGAATATCAGCTTCAGGGATATTAGAGGGTGAAGAAGGCTCAACCGTCAGAGTAGGTCACCAATCCTTGGGAATGGTGACATGCACAGGGGGAGAGGGGATGAACTGGGCAAAGGACGGCCTCAAAGATCTGTAGTCCTAAGGGCCACCCAGGTTGAAAGAGGAGGGCCCATAGGGGCAATAATTGCGGGCCTTAGGACCACGGGGATGCCAATGGGCTTGTCGACTGGTTCTACGCTAAACAGTCGACCATCCTCCCAGATCTTCTCCTCTAGCAAGGGGGATGAGGGGAAGCGACTGGCGGAGGGCATTGGGGGAAGCGGGATACCAGGATAGAGAAAGGCGGAAAAAAGCTTCCTCAATGGAAACCCAAATGAACGAAGGAGGTGCAGATGATTCCAGGGTTTCCACCAACAACTGGATGGATCCTAGGGCAAGATATTCGCAGAATTTCCAATGGATTTACTTTATTGCATTTCTCTCCAATCGCAAAAAAGGTGGCAAGGTGCCAGGCATGGAGCGGAATATCAACAATTCTCAAATTGCCAACTTTCTATCAAACTATTCTAACACCTCATCCAATTGAATTCTACTAGACCTACACCACTGAGAGGGAGACCTAGATATTTATTTGGCAGGACCTACACACTACATTCAATCTTTGCAGCCAAGAAATGACGAGGGTGATTATCGCCAAACTTTGGAAATAATTTCCCATCGCTCACATGAAAAACTTTAACATCGGAATTCATTCCTTAAAAAGGAATAAGCTTCCATGAGAGAAGGAAAAAATATAAGTAGGAAGATTTCACAATGCACAAGGCATTCCCACATACAAACATCTTGGAAAGTATTGTAGAAGCACTTGGAAGCAAAAACGTTTTGCAACCGGGCATCCCAAATGTTTTCTGCATAACAGTGATTCTTTCTCATTCTTTCTTCCTTTTTTTTTAGTGAAATCCTTCTCATTCTTTAATTAACTCATCGTAAAATATCAAGCTAAAACCATAAACAGGGGGGGTGGGAAAAAAAGGAGCCCAATATTCCAAAACAGAATAAGTAGGCTGAAAGCAAATCCATGAAAAATTAAGTACAGACCACTAGCTACTAAGAAGTTCAAAGATCCAACTATGATTACATGATAACATAGATCATTAAACATGGAAACCAACTCTAATGGCATGGAAACCAGATCTACTGACAAGGATAGACAAAAACATCCTCATCTATATTCCAGCCAGAAGCCCTCCCATTCACTTATCAATAGCCATGAATAAGAACCCCAAGAAACTGTTTCCTGGGATAGCCTACACATAGTTTCAAAAAGCGGACCGCCCAGTGCCCAGTGATTCAAAAGCGGACCGCCCAATGCCTAGGTGGTCTGAAAGGCCTGGGCACATCGCCCAAGCCTAGGCAGCCAATCTGGGCGGCCGCCCAAGGCCTACGCCTCGCCCAGGGGTGGAAATTGATTTTGGTAGGGGCAATTTTTGTCATTTTTTTTTTAAGGGCAAAAAAATAGGGTTTTAGGTTCATTTGAACCCTAAAACTTGTTGGAGCCAATTTTAGAGGGAGAAAGCTCTCAAAAATCTAGTTTTTGGTGAATTTTTTAGGATCTAAGGGTTTCTCAAAATTAACAAAACTTGATCACAACATCACCCATTGATATTAGATTTACTTTTTGATGTTTTACAAAGTTATTAGCGGGTTTTTTAGCAGATTTTGAGTATTTAGAAACATATTTGAGGTGGAAGTTTGAAGATTGAGCAATCAAACTCAAAGTAAGTGATTTTTTTGTATTGCTTTAGTAATTTGCATTATTTTTTACATGTCTTCTTCGGGATCTAATAGGAGCCGTGATCCCGGTTGGAAATATGACTATAACCCAGATCCTAATGATAAAAATTGCATAAGATGCAAGTTTTGTGAAAAAGATACAAAAGGGGGCATAAACCGATTCAAGAAACATCTTGCCGGTATCATGGGGGATGTTGCCCTATGTAAAAAGACTCTTGATGTTGTTAAAGAGGAAATAAACAGTTTTTTTAACATGATGAAAATAAAAAAGATGAGAGATTTGCCTCTATAACAAAAATTAGGTCTGGGGTTTGGGTCAATTTTGATGATGATGATAGTGAAGAGGAAAGGATTGGGGAGGGATGTCATGAGATTGAGCAATCCATTATTAAGGGAAAGGGGAAGGGAGTTGTAATTGCTTCTAGTTCTGGGTAAAAAGCCTCAGGTTCGAGGCCCTATGGATAGTTTTTTACGTCGGCCTAACCCTGAGGTTGCAGGGGAGAAAACAAAAAAGCAAACCACCATTTAAAATAGAATCAAGAAGGAAGAGAGAGAGAGCTGCGTATTATCTTGCTACATGGTTTTACGAGGCGAGTATTCCTTACAATACCGCTCGCTATTTTGGGTCATGTTTTAATACTATTGGGGAAAACTTATGGGTTTTAGGTTCATTTGAAACCTAAACCCATTAGAGGCTCTTTTAGAGAGAGAAAACCCAAAAAAAAAAAAAATTCTACTGCGCCTGCTTAGGCGCTGGGCAACCTGGACCCCCCCCCAACCACCTAGGTGCCGCCTAGAGCTTTTTGAACACTGAGCCTACATATATAAATATGTAAATATTTTTCCTAGGGAAATATTTACACACCCAAACGTGCCCTAACTACTTGCTTTTTTCGGCCTGAAGCTCTTATTCACAAAAACGTTCAGACTGGCCAAGTCTTAGCAGGTTCAGCCATAGGGGTGAGAATTGACCTGATCCATATACAAAACCCGGATTTCAGACCCTATTCGGATCGGGGTATTGACCCAAAATTTGGATCCGAAATTCGGATCCAGATCCAAAAGTCAAATCTGAATTGAAATCCAGATCGGATCTACGTGCAGGTGGATACGACCCGAATCCAGATCTAGATCCAACCCTTTTTTTTAAAATAATAAATATTTATTTCATATTTATAATTTTTTAAAATAGTATTTATATAATCCAGATCTGAATCTGATATATACTATTCAAATCCGGATCCAGAACCGATCTGATAAAAACTATTCGGATCCGGATCCTAATCCTGATCTGGTCCCCTAAGCTAGCATTCAAGGCCTCACCCAAGTTCAACCAGGAAAATGCTGAGGACCCAACCAGGTCAGAACCAAAGGCCCAGGTTCCCAGTTCGGGACCTTACGAACCTTGCAAGGTGCCTGGTCTGAGTGACTCAAGCAAGTCCTAGCCTAAATTGCCTACTTTTGTTCATTAAAACGGACAGTTTGAAAGGAAATTTAGGCTGCAAATGTAACCCAATATATGAATTATAACGGTAATTTAGCAGGAATAAGGTTGCTCCAAAAGCCAAATACTCCACCTTCTTTAAGGGGGTTGACTGGGGAGGTCTTGACTGAAGATGTCCCGACAGAAAGAACCCGAGAAGACACCGGGATTTCGTGGCCCCTCTATTCAATATGGATTCACTCGAGGGATCGGAAGTGGGGAGAAGCAACCGGTTCCTCTATCTACACCGGTTCTCTTTCAAGCGTCGTAGGTCGAGAACAAGCCCTTCCAGGGTCAACTCTAATGGACACTGCAAAGGCAGAGTTTGTTAAGATCTTCTAATATGCTCAAGGAAGCCTAACAAGATCGTGGTTATACAGAACGAAACTTCAAACATAGGTTGAGATTGTAGGAGTCTCTCTCATCTCCGGAAATAAACTTTATCCTAGATTTATATATAATTTATTCAATCATTAACACGAATGACGGCAACAAATGGGGAAGTGCACCTTATGAGGCTTGTGCATGCACCATATTTTGTAGATTAAGTTGTTCTTGCATTAAAAAAAGCATACCTGATGCCATCAATTACAAAGCCCTAGGCTTCCAAAGGAAAATAGAAGAATGAATTAGAGCATGCTAGGTGACAATGAGCACATTACCTATCACAATTGAACTCCCAAGAAGGACAAACTTCAAAGCAAATCATAAAAACTATCAACAATTTTAACAAAGGAATAATGACATCTCCGAACATTAAAAATTAGTCAGAGAAAAGGAAGTAACATTACCTCACTTCCAGCAATAGCTTTATCCAGAGCTTTATGCAACCCATCTGTGTCCTGACCACATCATTGCAGAAGTAAGCAACATTTGGGCTCTGCAGTATTCCTGTAATAAAAGAAAAATAGAATCACAGAGCCCCTTAAGAATTCATCTAATTTTCAGAATAACATAAGGGACCTTATTATCAATTTCAAGCAATGAGAATGAAAGAAATTCATGAAATAGATTAAGTGAAGAAAGAAAAAGAGATCAATGAGAAGATAACTAATCCAGTTCAACAAGCGGGACCCAAATATCATCATCATCATCATCCGAGTATTATCTCGACTATTTGGAGTTGGGACACAAATATCATAATGAACAAAACAATGAGGACGTATACATTCAAACGTAATGAACAGAAAGATGGACACCTCCGCCAACGCACTACACAATCAAGTCCATTATTACTAATCCTATTAAAATTCAAACAAACAGAACTGAGTACACCAATAATAACCAGAGCCTAAAGGTGCTCAAAAGTGGATTGATTCAAACAACAATACAACAAATGCCAAGCTAAACCATAGGACCTGCAAATTGTCAAGGACTAGTAGCACAAAACAGAGAGGCCATTTTTTAATTGGAATGGAGCGATGCCATGAGATGCAGGTTTGGAAGGAATGTTATATCGTTCCTACAACAAAGGAATAAGAACTGCAGGTGGAAATGGGTTGGAAGCCCTTAAAATAGAAACACAGGGATTAAGCCTAATTATTCCTTCAGCTCTGTACTCATCACCCACTAGCAGGGATGCATTCAATGTTTTCTTAATGATAATAGTTACGAGATAGAATCAAGACTTTCAAAATTCAAGCCTAGAATAAAAAAGCAACGTTCTGTTATATCTGACAATTGGAGTAAATGGTTATAAATGGTTGAACTTTATGACTTTAATCAGTCACAAAAGGTTCATTGCACATTTTGGATATAGGATTTTATGTTTACTTCAATTTTTGTAACATCTAGCTGTTTTGGGTTTAACACAGAATTTTGTAGACACCCAACTATATTTGGATTCAACACACAATTTTGTCCACACCGAACAGTCTTTGGGTTCACAATTTGTAATTTTAAAATTTTAGCAATAAAAAAGTTCAATTACTGAATAAAAAGTATGACTTTTAAGCGTTCCAGCATGCCTCAAATGTTGCTGTGTATTCAAAATTACAGCATGACATACATAGTGGTTCATGGGGATTATTTTCCAACGCTAGGTTCACTTTCACACTTTCAATGATAGGAGAGAACTCTTGAGATTGTACTATCCTCCATCGATTTCCTATTTCATTCAATGATATATTGCTACAATATCAGAAAAAAATACAACCCAGGACAAAAATAAATAGCAATTTTTTGTTGAAGACTAACAGATAGACCAACACAAATTGTGCTCGTTTTTTTACTGAGGAGAGAAATACCTCTGAAGGCCAACCATCAACCACAAACACATCCAAGGAGTAGCCATCATTTGTTGAGAAAACATGTGCTTCACGGATGTTTAGTCCCATATCAGAAAGCAAAGCAGAGAGCTAGAGGACAATAAGACACAGTCAGACACTTCCACGAGATCTAATTCAATCATAGGAGATATTGTCAACTCGAACAAGACCAATCAATCAAATGGTCACATTAACAATACCAAGTGTATGCATAGTTGTACCTAATGTTTTCCCAAAAAAAAAGAAAAAGAAAAAACAACAAAATGGACTAGTAACAAGAAAGATAAAAAGAAAGTGCAAAGACCACTCTAGAGGATTTTTCAAACAGATTGGTATTTCCCTTTAGGGGAAACAACTAATTGCTTTAGAAGGAAAACCAGACGCCAAGTATAACAAAAGAACAGGGGAATTTAGATTTTTGAGAACATATGCCTGCAACCTTCAGGAAGCAAAACATGTAGTCTAGCATGCTTCTCCATACCTGGCTCAATAGCTTTGGCTTGTCAATGGTAGAAAATATAATTTCATGCAATGGCACCCAAGAAAGCTCCTGACTGAATCACATTTTGCAGGTTAGTAATACTGTGAAATGTATCCCAACCAAATAACTCATATAGAACACTATGCAGTTGGTTTCTCATGAATTACAATCATCACAAGTTCTGTTGCGCCAACAACTACTCTTTGAACTTTTGTAGCGGATCATATTAAGCCCAACACATCCAAACATTAATCAAAACTAATATTCCTTCTGTCTTGTGCAGAAAAAGACAGAAAGAAACATACATAACCCAGCAGAAGAACTTATTGCAGTTGAACAACTGATAACAAGATGCTGACATTTAATCCACCTCCGATAGATACACTTACTAACTTTTTGCACTTTAGATCCAAGCCACGGAAATGCAGAAAAAGAGGCAATACCATCTGGGACCTCTACAAATTTCCAATTTCAAGACATTCACTTGCCACAGGCCACTCAAAGTTTTTCTAGCCAAGTAAATCTAAATACTGGCCATTGAACTACAAAGTAAACTCTGATTGCGACAAAGCAATTAACCTCCAGGGCCCCCCACCAATTTCTAACCTAAACTGGAATTTGGATTTGGAAATTTAGAAAGCATAAAGAACAGGCACACTTAACCTCAACTCTATTTCAGAAACTGAGAAATAACATGAATCCCTTTTTTCTCTGAAGTAAAGGCTAACCAACAGGACTCCCATTAAGATGCATCTTTATCCATATGACTTTAAAACAATCAAAAGATGACTTCGAAAGGATTGTCAAAACTTGTACCTTCCAGAAGCTGCCATGATACTTTGCTCCTCAGAATCATTAGCATTTTTTCTCGAATCCAAGTTTAAGCCTTCAAGCTTTGACAATGGCTCAATTTCATTCTCAGAATCCCTGTTCCAAGGGAAGTGAACAAATAACTAAGAAATAGAATTCATCAAAAATAACCAACCAAGAAACAGTCCTACATATAGAGACAAAAAATCAATAATATGATATGGGGCAAATCTCCAAACCAAACGACAACTTAGCAGATTAAATGGATAACTTTCATAAGCAATGTACAATTCCCCTATCAAGAACATGGAAATTAATAATCAAGGAGTGTATGCAAGCACCGTTTAAATCCTGGAAGAGATTGACATACCTGTTATCTAAGAGAATATCTTTTCTATGCTCAGCATGGCATCCTCTGGACAATGAAGTACAATTCTTGGATCGATGTGGGTCATCATCTCCATCAATCCTAGTCAGAATACTCTATCCAAAATAACATGAAATAATCATAAGGAGGATATAATTAAAATATAATGTACATATAAAGAAGTTCTTGCAAACACATTAAACCATTTCATATAGGCAGTTTTAACGCAATCATGTTTCAGACTTTGGCTAGTATATGGGAGAAAAAGAGTCAAAGAAGTAATTAGGTCCTCCATCCTGCAATAAGCTACAAAACTAGGGGTTTTCTAGAGTAACGCAAAATAACAAAACAAATTTCCTACATGTACACTTGGATTTTCTTGTACTCATTTCCACAAAATGAGAGAGTAAACTAAAAATATCAATATTTGGTGACCATACAACTCTTGATAACCACAGCCCATAAGAGATCAACATAATCTTCAAACATGCGGCCATATCCAAAATAGAGTCACTTACCTTTCAAGCACCAGATACGAGAGCATCTCATAGACTAAATCCTCATACACCAGCTAATAAGAGAGAAAGCATTCGACTAGACTAAATCCTCAAAACAGCCAAGGTTGACTGAAAATTAATAAATGAAGCATACATTTTGATAGCTTCATCTAAAACAGAAGATACCGGAGCATCTCATAGTACCTCCATAAAACGGACATGGAAGACAGGCCTCATTTCAGGTATCTTTGCAAGTTGAAGAATTTTTCGGTGTAAAAGGACATCTTCCACCTTCTCTAAGTTGACATCGAATCCGTAACTAACAAAGAACAAATAAGGAAAAATCTATTAAAATATAGTACATGGAAGAGCAAATGTATATCAACAAAGAGCAAAGAAAGAAAGATAAGACTCAAATACTTATTTGTATAAGAGGGATGCCATATTTAGTTCACAAAATAATTATAAGAACTGATACAAGTGAAAAAGAGCAGAATTTTTACTACAAACATAACAAGGAAAGTTACATGCTGCCATGAGGAGTGCGTTGAATAGGAACAATGTTAGTTAGTGTCTTGCAACTATATTCAACCCATTCTATTCAAGATATGGCATATAATAACATTGCAAGGTCATTCAGAGAAATCAATTGCAGCAGTTTTTAGAATGGGAAGTCACCATCCACACCATAAATGCCAATGTTTTAGAGCGTGCTATCTTCATGTACTGGAATGATGAATCACCATTCATACCCAACCGCAAGTGAAATGTATAGGATTTCCTAAGGTGTCTTCTATAGTGTGGACACTGTCAATATGTGCCAAATTTCTCAAATGAAATATTGCCCCCACCCTTTGATGCAAAGATATAGGCACTTGCGTTCGACAGACAACAAACACTTAATATTTTATGGCGCTGAAAAGAGCCAAAATAGGATATTGGAGGTGCGTCACTGAATCTCAGCATAACAGAAAAGGTGAGGGATTTCAGACGTGTTTCCGGTTTTTCCTTTAGTAATGACAGGGTATCCCCGCCCAAGTATTATCTGCACCAAATAGCGGCGTTGAAGTTCACATGACAGTACACATGTAAGTAAAATTTCTCTTTCCATGTATACAAACAGAGTTCCACCAATCAATACATGTTAGGAAAACCAAATATGCATATATGAATGTACATATGTGTGAATGTGTGTGCACAGTCTGCAGCAATTTTCATGCACATACATACATATGCACATATAAATGAGGCCAGTTATTTATGCATGTACATGGAAAGTGGGTTCCCATAAGCAGCCAATACAATTTGAAGATGCATTAACTGTGACTGTCTGATTATTTGAAAAAATAATAAGTTACAAGGCATAAGAAAGAGACAAAATAGAAAAGGTGAGCTAGTAATAGTGTTACTTTAAATGTCATTGTCTATTATTCACAATTCACAGTTAAATTGCAGACTCTAAAAAGGAATAAGCATGTCACGTTATGAAACCAGCAGTTACATTAATTTGAGCAATGCATTTTCTTAAAACGTTTTTCATTTTAACAGCGGTTCAGACTTCAGAATCCAATAGCACCAAATGCAAATACCCAAGTCACAAAATTGCATGAAACCATCAAAAAGAGAATAATTAGATACAATGACAAAACCTTCTAGTTCAGCATATGCCATTATGTGCACATGCACTGAACTTGCAAGACAAATGTCAAGTCATAGCCTTACTTTATACCATGTCCTCTATGCTCTAAGAATGCTGATCAGGTGGGGTGGGCTGTATCATAATTTGGCAAAGTAGAACCCTGCCCATAGCTTGATTGATGGCCAGCTTATCTGCACCATGCAATGTCTTAGGCTGTTGATCAACAACTGCAATTTGCACAGTGCAGATCTCCCCACCCACTGGTCCAGTGGTGGGAAGGGTGCTAGTCCACCATGACACGGTGGGGTGCCACCCCATTGGAAATAATCCAAACGCTCATAATTATTAAAAAAAAAAAACACATGAAGATGAGAAAAGCAGACATGATATGCTAAGAAGAACCAGGGATCAATGGAACAAAGCCAACAAAGTGATTAAAAATAACTAAAAATAGAGGTTATAATATTTTCCTTCAAGATTTCGACGTCATATAGAGGAATATTGCAAAAATAAATGCAGTAGCAAATAATTGTATAGCTAGCCATCAAATCTTGAACAGGATTCATTCTATGAAAGAAGAAGAAGAAAATGAAGAACACCTGAATGAATGATTACAACTTTGCAACCAGAGCACAATACTAAACTCAAAATGCGAAGCCAATTTAATTAGCGGTCACCACAGTGAAATAAACAAAAGACGGAATCATCATAAATTCACAAACCAAACAATCCTAGATTAAGCTTAACAGAGCTATCACCTTTAAATAGAATAACGTCCAAATAGAACTAAAATTCAAACAAAGGAAATGAAAAATCCAAATTATATCGCACCTTTTAACCTCCAAGAAAAAGCATCACACCGCCCATTAAAAGAATGAATAAAAAATGGGAAGCGTTTTTATGGAAATCCCAAATTCCGCATAAACCGAAAAAGAAAAGAGAACTAGAAATTTGAGCAATCTTAAGCAACCACATCAGTCCCAAAATCTCAGAGAAAAAAAACAAAAAATGAATCCGTCTTTGAAGATTCAGAAACTGAAATATTCATAGAGTCCAAAAATGAAGAGAAATACCTAGGAGGCAAGCGATTGAAATGAGCTTCTATTTGTTCTCTGAAATCAGGAGCAGCAGCTTCTTCATGGCAACTTCCCACAAGCCTGTCATAGACATCGTTCCAGACCTCATACTGAGACACCGCGAACCCACGAGGTGGAGAAGGGCTCTCACCAACACCTTCTAAAAGTTCCATTCCTCTTTTTAGTTCCCTATCCAAAACCAAAATTTTCTCTTCCAATACTAAAAATCCTTTATCAAAACACAAAAAAAATACTTTATCAAAACACAAAAAACACAGAGCGAGAGAGAGGAGATACCCAAGCCTCCCTCTAACCCTGCTAAAAGCCCTAGAAAACCAGAAAAAAACTAGAGAGAGAAAATTAGAGACCCTTATTACTCTCCTTCTTCCCCATCTAAAAAGGTTTCATCACCCCAAAAAACATTCTAGAGAGGAAGAAGAGAGAAACCCTAGACCCACATTCGCCCTCTTCCCAGCTTAAAACCTCACAAGAAACCTGAGAAAAACCTAGAGAGAGAGAGAGACGAGCGGAGAGAGACAAGGAAATGTCAGAGGGATGGGGCGCGGGCGGGTGACTGGATGAAGCCGACGGTTACTGACTCAATGCAAACGACGTGAAACGAATAGTCAGAGAGAGAGAGAGAGAGAGAGAGAGAGAGAGGAGGAGTAGTAGTAGGAGAGAGAGACGACGACGTACGTAGTAGACGAGGACGTCGTCGACGACGAGAGAGAGCGAGAAGGAGACAGTCGACGAACGAAGTCTGTGTCGTCCGCCCGGACGGTATATTCTGTATAACTTCACTCGTAC